AAATGTAATTAATTGCACTTCTTGCATTTTTCACGTGACCGATTGCCGGGTCCTCGTGTTACATTCCGGGACTCACATTTCCCTCCTGCTTAAGTCATGCGTCCCACGCATGATTTTCTTCGGTGAGCTGTTGAAGCTCTTTTAACTTCAACTTGCGTAGGTCGTAGAGCTCTAATTTGGTGGTTCGGTAGATCTGCTCTATTCCATACTTCAAGAACACATCGTAGGTACGGATGGCGGAGGTGTAATAATGTCGTTTAACCATGTCCCTAAACTGGCTCTGCTGTTGCCGGGTTCCATTGGCATACAGCATCCCTAAATAGTACCCATATACTAGGGAGTCTATACGTTGCCTCAGCCTTAGGCTTCTCTGGAGGTGGTTCATAGCTAAGTTTACACTTCCGGGGTAATCATGGGTCGTAGTAAACGGTGGGGGTGCTGGATTAACATTAAGCGGCAACGGATTGGTGACGTCATAAATGATCTCCGTCAACGTGATCGGACTTCTGGGCATTTTCTTATATAAAAGGATTTTTTTTGTAGATCTTTTTGATCTAACTCTCTTTCTCCCTTATTTTAGCGCTCCTTTTTATCTCTTTTTCTACCCTTTGATCTCGATCTATGATTTAGCTCCTGGCTTCTTCGCTTTATCACTTTCGTCTTTTTGGTAACTCTTTCTATCACTTTCTTCTTTTTTTTTTTATATTTTAATTTTTCTAATACGACCATTCATAATACTCCTTTAGCAGTGTAACGTTGAACGGTGTCGCCAGGACCTTTCCTTCTATGGTGCGTAATTTATATACATCCTTTTTTAGCATCTGATAGACGTAAAACGGACCATCCCATTTTGGCTCTAACTTCACGCTTTTATTATACTTTTTCGATGCACGGTATAATAGGACTTTATCGCCGATGGACAAATTAGGTGGAAAACGGGCATTTCGGTCGTACCGTTCTTTTTGCTTCTGTTGAGCCTCTTGAATTCTTACCACAGCCTCATCGCGTGCTACCGGTAGGTCTTCTAACAATTGGAATGTTCTTTGTATTATGGTACCTTCTAATAAGTCTTCTGATTCAATGGGTAGTCGGGCTTCTCTTCCATGCATCAGGTAAAATGGCGTGATTTTGGTGGTCGCATGCTTAGAGGTCCGGTATGCAAATAATACTGCAGGTACGACAAGGTCCCAGTCACTAACGTTTTCTATCGACCTTGCAATAGATTCACACAAGGTCTTATTGTATCGCTCTACCAACCCGTTGGTCTGTGGGTGGTACGGCGTCGATAGTAAGTGTTTTACTCTAAATTTTTCTAGTAACTTATCTACTAATTGATTTCTAAAGTGGGTGCCTCGATCGGATAATATTTTTACAGGGCATCTGTGCCTACACACGATATCCTCGAATATAAAGTCGGCTACGCTGTGGGCATCTGCTGTTGAAATCGCTTTAGCTTCCGGCCACTTGGTCATATAGTCGGTTGCTACGACTATATAACGCGAATTCCTAGGCGTAATTGGGAGTGGACCGATAATATCTATGCCCACTTTATAGAAAGGCGCTAATACCGGTATGGGTTGTAAGGGTCCCCTGTACTTATTCTTTCCTCTTCTTTGACAATTCTCGCACGACTGAACGTATCTCTTAATATATTCGAAGGCTTGGGGCCAATAATACGTCTTACGGATCTTCTCAAACATGGTCTTGGCTCCGAAGTGCCCTCCGAGGGGATGATCGTGCGTTAACAAGAGGATGGGGTCGATTTCATGCTTCTGGACTACCCTTAAAGGTTGGTCTTGATTTTTCCTATTTCTCTTATATACTAAACCATTTCTTAATAAAAACGTTCTACTTTTATTAATCAATTGTTTCTTTTGTTTCTTATCTAGGTCGGCTTCGACGTATCCCTCTTGCAAGTATCTCTTTAACCGCTCGTAGTCTTCTACTTCCATTTTAGGTCTCTTCTGCCAGGACACCGACTACCTGGGCTGGATTGGGTTTATCGTCGGATTTGGGGTGTTTTCTTTTCTCGGTTTTTTTCTTTGTTTATCTTTATCTATTTTTCTAATTGTTACTTTCTCTTCTCATTGCTCCAAGATTAATTACTCTTCGGTCCTCCCTCCGATTGGCGTTTCGTTCTTCTTCAATTGCTTGTACGTTTAGTGGCTCGGTATATCCTAAATCGATTCCGGTGTCGCGTAAGTAGTTTCTTCTAATCAGTTCTTGTTTCGCTCCGAAAATTACCCAGTCCCTTATTTTTAATAATTGGGTGGGTTCTGATGCTACTAGCTTAAATCCGTGTTATTCGACTAAGTAGATGGCTTTTCTTCGGTTTAAGATTTCTAGCGCAAGGTGCTCGAAATGGGTCTGGTGATAATACAGGTGGTACGTATTGCCATACGATTTACTCGGCCCAGTGTATTCCAAATTTCTCCTATACTTGGTTCCCAGCTTTATATACTGCATTAGAGGGGTTGGTTGGGTCCTCAGTTCGATTGTTTCTTCCTCGAACTCGGGTAAGTTGGTTCGTTTCTTCTTTATTTGCTCTTCGCCCTTTTCTTTTTCTGACTCTTGGTTACTATCCTCTTCTATGGCCATATACACTTCTGCGACCTCTTCGGTTCCATTTATTCGGGATAAGGCGTCTGCATTCCAATGGGTACTTCCCGACCTATGCTGGATCGTGTAGTTATACGGTTGCAATCGGAGTATCCAGCGGGCTCTCTTACCCTTCAACTTCGTACTATGCAGCCACTTGAGTGCCGAATGGTCGGTTATAATCACGAACGGCTCAAAGCCGAAGTAATGGTGGTAGTATTCTACTGCCCAAATAACCGCCAGGCATTCTAATTCACAGGCCGAATAGTTTCTTTCGGCTTTAGATAGACTGCGGCTCGCATACGAAATCACGTGTTCCTTTTTGTCAACTCCTTTCTGGGCTAAAACAGCTCCTAACCCCGTCCCGGATGCATCGGTATACAGGTAAAACGTTTCTTTAAAATCGGGGTACTTAAGAACGGGCGCCGTAATTAGGTGATTCTTCAAGGTTTCAAATGCTTCTTGTTGTTCCGGCTCCCACTTAAAACTAACCTCTTTCTGTAATAGGCGATGTAAAGGCCTCGCTATGGCTGCAAACCCGGGAATAAATTTCCTATAATAGGACGCTAGGCCTATGAATCCCGTTAACTGGCGGAGTGTACTAGGTATGGGATAATTTTTAACCTTTTCTATTTTATTTTCGTCAGGTTGTATTCCCTGCCGTCCGACTATATGCCCTAGGAAGTGGATGGTAGGCTTAAAGAAATCACACTTCTCTACGTTGATCTTTAACCCTGCTTCAGCTAATTTAGTAAAAACTTTCTTTAGGTGCCCTAAGTGCTCGTCAAAGTTACGCGAGTAGACATTGATGTCATCAATGTAGACGGTCACGAACTTCCCAATATACTCCTCTAGGATCCGATCCATTAACCGTTGGAATGTGGCTGGTGCATTAGATAGGCCAAACGGCATAACGTTAAACTCGTAGAGTCCCCCTCGCGTTACAAAGGCGGTTTTCTCCTTATCTTCTTCCTCGACCTTCACCTGCCAATATCCGCTTTTCAAGTCTAGGCTAGAAAACCAATTCGCGACGCTAAAGGTCTCCAGTAAGTCGTCTATACGGGGTAGCGGGTAAGAATCTCTTCTCGTCACCGCATTCAACTTTCTATAGTCTACGCACAGCCGTAACTTCCCACCCTTCTTCGGAACTACGACTACGGGTGAAGCCCACGGGCTATTCGATTCTCTAATTAATCCTCTTTCTTTCATCTCTTTTAGTTCTTTCTCGATAAATTCGTGCTCGCTTGGTGCCGCCCTATACGCCTTCTGCTTTATCGGCTTGGCCTCGCCGGTCTCGATTCGATGGGTTATCACGGTTGTTTCCCCAAGTCCCTGCATATCACTCGTGAATAGGTTTCTTTCTTGCTGAAAAAACGCGGCTGCTTTTTCCTTCTCTTCTTTAGTTAGAGTTTCGTTCTGGAGGAACTTTTCTATCTGCTTTTCCACTGTAAGTTCAGTTTCTTTTTCCTCCTTCGTCGGCATTTCCTCTATATCTGTCAAATACAAGGCCGGACTTGCTGACTCTTCCCATGGATTATAAAATAATTCGTCTATTTCCTCGGGGGTTTCTTCTGTGTAGTATCCTTCGGCTTCGACTAATTCTTCCTCCTCATAGGTGTATTCGCCGAACTCGTCGCCACTATCACTACCGGGTAGATCTTTTTCTTCTGGAACTTCTAAGTTCTTTGCTCCGCTATTTGAAATAGGTACCTCAATTCTTTTACCGTCGTGCTTGAGGAACAGCCGCTGTTCGTCGAAGTGGATTCGCGCTTGGGCTCTCTGGAACCAATCGTTACCGAGTAACAAAGTTTCATCTGCGGATTCAATGACTTGGAAGGTACTAGGTAAGAGGATGTCTTGTATTGCCACTTTCACGCCCTCGATTTGTCCCAATGCTCGCGTTCTGGTGCCGGTTGCTGTGATTACTACAGTTGCTGATGGTTTATCTATTTTCAACTTCAACTTATCCATGAGTTTCTTCGTCATTATGCTCACCGCCGCGCCCGAATCTAATACGGCTCGAACGGGGCTTCCTCTAATCCTTACATAACAATGGGCGGCCGTGGTTCTATGGGCGTCGCTAAAATTCACCACTTGGGGTTCTTGAACTTCTTGGGGTATTCTAATTTCTCTAGGTTCTCTGGGTTCTTGGGCTACAAGGGGTCGACGTAATACTTGAGCTAAGTTGCTCCTTTGGTTCGGGTATTGAAGTAGTTGGCCGTACGTGGCGTTTGCTCTAGAATTTAATAAATCCTCCGCAATGTTATAGGGGACGAGTCTATCGATAACGGACGGTCCTCTTTTTCTCCTAGGTTTCTTAATCGACCTCGATTCACCTAGCTCCATGGGCTCTATCTGGCCTCCTACGTCTACCAGAAGTGGTTCGTTTTCTGTTCGGGGTCGAAGTCTATTGTCCCACTTCGATTCTGGCTGCAACCTAGGTCTTTTGTCGGGAGTATCAGGTTGCACTTGCTGTTTTCTTTTATCTACTACGTATAACTCGTCTTCTTCGTATTCACAGTAGTTCACTCTTCTAACGTTATCTGTCGGACGTCTTTCCTCTTCATTAGGCTCTTTATACTTCTTTTCTGACAAACAATACCTCGCGATATGTCCCTTCTCGCCGCACCTATAGCAAACGATTTCTTTCCTGGGCTTGGAGATCTCCTTATATCGCTCCTTTTCGCGTGTATCCTTTTCTTGCTGATTGGTTGCTGCAACATAGTTAACCGATAGTTGCTGCACTTGCTTGACTAACGCCTCAATTAATTCATCCTTTTTATCAGGGGTTACTGGGGTCTCGTGTAGGTGGGTGCCGTAGTATTCGCCGGCTTCAACTTTCCTCGCTGCCGCAATGGCTTCGTTAAGGCTATTCGGGGACGTTACCGCTACGAAGGTGGCTGTTTTTCCTTTCAACCCACTTAAAAACATTCTCACAATATACTGGTCGGGTAGGGAGTTGGTCGGATCTACTCGACTTAAGAGCTTCTTAAACTTGGTCGCATAGGCGTCGACCTTTTCGTTTTCGAGTTGGGCGAGACTATTCAGCTGGATATGCCACTTGTGCTGCTTTTCGGGAGTAGCGAAGAAAGCGACTAACAAGTGGTAAAAACTCTTGTCTTGCTCGTCCTCGTTCTTCCATTCTTCTATGTCGGCTTTATTATCCTTAAACCATTCTGCTGCTAACCCTTTTAAATAGCCGGAGGCTATTTTAAGCTTTCTTTCTTCTGTCCAATTATTCGCTTCTGCAGCGCACTCGAAATCGTCAAACCACTCTATTGGGTCTTCGTCGTCACTTCCGCTGAAACTTCTAACCTTCATATGGTTGGTTTCTTTGGACCCGGACACATTTCCTTTAACGATATCCTTGGCTGCATCTTCGAAGGACTTGGTCATACTCTCTA